CTCACCTCGGGTAAGTCCCAACTGCGGTCCGGGTGCGCAGAGAGCAATCTGGCGGGTCACGTCATTGTTGCCTTGTCCCCTGGGAAGGCAGTGCAGGACCTAGAACGTGGCTCCGTGGCTCCAGCAGTGGCGAACTAAAAGTGGGGCAGAAAGGCTCCCAAGACCTTTGTAATTCCACAAGAGGCTCCGAGGCTCTCTAAGGGGGTCTATACAAAAGGAGGGATTCTCAGCACCCTGATTGCTGGGTTCGCTTTCAGATGGAACAAGGGTCACTAAGGCAGACTTTACTTTGGAACCTTCCTACCAAAGCCACCTAAATACTAAGGAAATATCTGTGGATATTTCTGCCCTCCGGCACCACATTTTCCTGGACAACCACCTTCTCTGAGTTCTGGCAGAGCTCGCAGCAGCACCAAGCTCCACACAGGGTCAGTGTGGCCGGGTGAGGGCATAGGGATGGTCCACAACACCCTACATCCTTGAGCCCCTGTCTCTCCCGCCCCGCGGGAATCATCAACGACTTGCGGGATCCAGGAAGCAGGTGGGGAGCACAAGAGGAGTCTTGATTTGTATTTGGACTCTTGCAGAGCCCCCAATTTTTAATTTAAAGCCAACAGGATCTCCAAAGACTAGGTCTGTGACGCTAGGATTTTTATGTATGTATATATGTATGTATTGGAACAGACAGCCATACTGGCACCAAGCAGGGCACAATCCTGGGCTGAGCCCAGTGCTCTACAGACGTTCTAGGTAACCCACAATATGCACATAACTACTGCTGGGGTGGTGTAGGCTGTGGTTTCTATAAAGGCCTCCAGGACTCATCCTTGTTAAGTATACCTGGTTCTGCGGGTTGGTTCTCTTCTTGAGTGCATTAATAGGATCAGCTATTTTAGCTCAGAGCATCCAGAGTAATTGGATCTGGTCTTCTTCCTCTGCTAGTGTCTTTGAACAATGCATGGCACACAGTAGGTGCTCAGCAAATGCTCAGTGAAGGCAGAAAGAAACAAATGATGAATTAATCAACAGTTCCATTAGCCTAAGAATCAGACAGTAAATTCACAGCCAAGTTGAATTGAGCTGTAAACCCAAGTTAGATCTGTCAAATAAAAGAGTACATAGTTGTTCCGAATGTGCACCTCTTTTTATTTAATAAAAGAAATTAGTGTCCTGATGAACACTTTTAGGGATCTGATGTGAAAGGAAGTACTGAAGTCTTCACTTCAGGAGTCCACCAGCTTGAAAAGCAAAACAAGGTGATTTTCCTCAGCCCATCCTTGTATTATATTAGTGCATGAATGGGAAGAAAAGTCAATAAGATAATTTGCTTTTGAAATTGAGAAAATTGCATCTTGACTTCCCTGGAACTATTTTGAGTTTCAAGGCATCTCCAATCAACCTAACTATCACGAGGATTTACTGAGAATAGTTTCCTAGGAATATCTTCAGCTTTTGAATCACCTTTTAAATATTTTGATGTTCAGCTTAAATATTTCACATCATTACTTTTAGGTTTTGAAATGGTAGTCTTAAATTTTAGAAAGAAGCTCCATATGCTATAGCTTTTGAAGTATATTTTTATTTATTTTAACTTACTATTTTCTTAGCAAATTTCCTAAGAAGAAATATTCCATAGGAGAAAGTTTCATTCATTCAACATACATTTATTGAAAAACCTACTATGTGCTAGGCATTGTTCTAGGTGCTAGGAATTCACAGAAAACAAAACAAAAACTCCAGTCCTCCAGGTGCTTGTATTACAGTAATGGGCTTAACAGGAGTCCTTAACTGTCACCCCAGCCCCCAAATATAACATATTCTATTTTAATACCCTCTCAACATAGTAATATCTATTTTTCAAGTCAGAATCAGGGTTTATATAATTAACACCATAAAAATATTATTTTCAGCTGAGCCAGAATCCTTTGATTACATTTCTTTTCATATTTGTTTTATTTCATTAGCAATTCCTTCTTTTCACTTGCCTAGTTTTAGTTTTCTTTCTGCCTAATACTCATTTGTCTCTTTTCCTGGGTTTTATCTGTTCCTCACTGATTATTATTCCCTCACTTCCTCACTTTGGTGTAGCATATTCACCATTATATAATTAACAGTTTTCCTTGGGAAGAAATTTAAGTCAGAAATCATTTCATTTTGAATGTTCAAGAAATTCTCCACTTCCACTTCTTTTCTTTTTTGTTTTTGTTTTTGTTTGGTTGTTGTCAGTCATTATTGTTGCTTTGTTGCTTTATAACACCTGTCTTCTTTTTCTCATCAGTGTTGGAAATTTTCATGAAGATGTACCTTATGCACCTTGGTGGGGACAGTTTTTATACGTTGTTCTGAATACTGAGGGAATACTTGCATATCCTTCAGTGCAGGAAAAATTTTTAAAACTTTGTTTTGTTGGTAATTTCCTCCTCTCATTTTTGTTGTTGTTATTCAACTTCTTGGGAGGTTTTCTTGTTTTAAAACCTTTTTGATATTTTTTGTATTCAAGAGTTTTTATTTTATCTTCTGACTGTACCTTTTTATGTACCTCTTGTACTTATTTAATGGGTTCACCATCTTTTAGTTTTCCAAGGCTATTAAACATTGGTTATTTGTTCTGTTCTTATAAGAGCTAATCTTTGCATTTCTAGTTCTCCTCAGCTGTTGATTTATATTGAAGAAAGAGGCAATAAAGTGCTAATTAGAAGCTGAGGATTGAAGAGTTGTCTGCACGGGGTCCTGAGTATAGAATGCTCAGATGGGAAGTGACTTTGCCATTTGTAGGGGGAGGGAGAACCCTTAACTATCAGTAGTTATGAGCCTTTTCTTTGGGTTTCTTGTTTGCCCTAAGAGGAGACCTCTTATCTCTCAGGTGGGCTGAAGGTTGGAGTAAAGTATGAACTGATGAGGAAAGAAAGAAGCTTAGAGTCTACCATTCATTATGGTAATCTTCCAGTCTTTTCTGGGACCTAAAAGAAATTATAAGAAAATCCAAAACATACCCCTCTTAAAGGCTTACAATCACTCCTACTTTCTGCCCATCCTGTAACTACGGGCAGATGTAATCAATCACTCAAAGACCTGAACTTTTCTAGGTCCTCATTTCGTGATGTTTTTTACTTACTAGAGTTTAAAGTAGAAACATACACCTTCACATTGCTTTCCCTTCTTCCAAACCAGGTAAGAAGACTGGCCTGGGGTGAGAAGTACAGACAGTCTTCACAGAGTCCTCCATTTATACTCAGTCCTTAGCTGATTCCCGACGTCCATGACAAGATACCTGCCCGGAGGCTGCTGTCTCCAAAGCCAGAGAAACAGATGCCAACATCAAAAAGTCCCTTCTAGAGAATATTTTTAGAGTTGTCTGTGCCTGCCAGA